AGTAGAATCAATTAAAATTGCACTATTGATTCAGTGATAAAAAAGTTTACTGAGAATCAGTGATAATATCACTGATTTGCAATGAAAAAATGCCTCTTTTAATTATTAAAGAGCCGGCATTTTTTTCTTGAAATCTTGTAGAATTGATATCCTAGTTTTAGTAACATATATATCGTATATTTTATACAAATTTATGAAAATGATTCAGCGTCACTATAGTAATTGCCGGTCCTTAAAGGAGGGAAAGTTGCAAGTATCGTTGCAAAAAAAGGTTTTTTTACGTTATCCTCATCAAAGCTCAGTGTATTTTATTTTTAATACAAGAATGATTTATATAAATAAAGAGCAACTGTCGTTGCAGTTATATAACTTAAATTTGTTATACTACGCAGTGTTTTAAGATAACATAACGAATTGTAATTCTGATATTTGATGCTTTTGTGTTGTATTAACATTCAAAAATGTTTTTCAGGTTTGAACCGCGTTAATGTTATTATTATATGTATTAACGCGGTTCAAACCCGAAAAACATTTCTGAGTGTTAATAACGAATTGTATATTAGTGTAAAAAATACAAACGGTTACAAATATTTTAGTATTACTAAAAAGTCGCTTGACACATTTAAAAATTTTTAAAATAATTAACAATGTATATGTGTATATATATATTTATTTATTTATTTGTTTACTTAAGATTTTTATTTTATAGTTTATATTTTATATATATATATATATATTTATTTGTTTATTTAGATTTATTTTATTCATATTTATATATATATATTTATTTATTTATAGATGCATTTTAATTTCTTAAATATTTTGGTTTTGACTTCTGTCGTCAATTGTAACTCGTGTAAAGTGACTTTAAAATAATCATAACACTCTCTATGTATTGCGTGTCTTTTTTTATGTTGTATTCTTTTTCTTATCCCAGACAGCATAGACCTGCAAAGTACGTCTTAAAGACATCCGGAAAATGTGCTATTTTTAAGACGCACTCCGAATGTTTTTAAGATATCACTTGAAAGTTTGTGCTATCCGGAATTTTTTTCAAGTTTTTTATCTATTCTATTCATTCTTTCCTTATTTATTTCTCTTTTTTTTCTATCTTGTTATTTCATCTTTTCTACTTCTATCCTTTCTATCTAAGGTTTTACCTGTTCTGTTCTATCTGTATTCTTTTTGGAAATACACAACATTGGTTTTGTAAATAGTGTATTAATTTTTATATATTTGTATTTATTTATATTTTTATTGAAACATTGTTATATACAATAACATGTAGAATTATTTCAATTATTTTAATTATTATTATTTTTGCTAAAAAACGTATATATAAACATTTATTACAATATTGAACAAAACAAATGTTTTACATTGTTTTTGATGGGAGAAACCACCACCTTGTCGCGGTTTCCATTGAGCAATAATGCGTACGTAGTTTATTTCTAAAACTTAAATACAATAAAATTCTTATTGCAAGAATACTTTTTTTTTCTTTTAATTTATATTATATGTAATTGCGAGTAGCAAAGTAAAAAGTATACTAACAGAATACTTTTTACGTAACAAACAACAGTAAAATATATTTTTATCTCTACGTATTGTATATTAACAATATTTTTGCTAAATGTATAATTAAGTATACTTTTCTTTTTTTGTTTAAAACAAAAAGACGTACATATTGGCCAAGAGTGGATTTATATTCTTCACTTTTTACTTATGCTCCTCATATGTTTCATTTTTCTAATTATTCTTTCATGGTGTTAATATTTTTTATTTAATTGAAATGTTTCTGTAAGTAATAAGTGCAAGAACGAGGACAAACGGCCAAAAACGATAAAGAGCTGCTAGCGCGAGGCTTAGCCGCTCGCGCTAATCGCGTACGATATAGTTATGTCGAAAGAAAGAGACAGCAAACGTATCTGTTCTCTTCTACGATAGAAGACCTGTAAGAGAGTTAAAACTGAGAACACTGAGGAAATCGAGTGTTTGCGCCATGCTGTTTTGTATGTTTTTTTTTTTTTATTTTTTTTGAACACAATAATCACATATGTTATTATTACAACGGCAAATATTGAAAAAATACGCAAACAAATTAAGTTTTTTTAGATTTTTAGGTATGTATTGGGAAAGAAAAAGAAACAATGCAAATATTATAAATGTATAAATTGTTATGTATGTATATATTTATATAAACGGCGATATAAGTGGATTATATAAACGTGACACGTGATATTACAATTACGTGTATTACAATAAAATAAACGGAATCATTTCGGGATATTTTTAAAACACTCGTGAAATAACTATACACTCGAGATCTTCTAACATTAATGTATTTAATAAAATCAAAGATACAGTTAACGCGCACAGCAAATGTTTCTTGATGGTGACTCTAAAAAACTGAAAAGTATTCGCGAAAAGAAAACAAAGGTGAATCGAACAAAAGATTGCGCATTTGTGCATATATATTTATATAGACTGTGTTAATTGAACGAGTGTTAATTTCTTAAGTCATCTAACCAGATACTTTAATAGATGTGCTATATATATTTATGTACAAATATAGTTAGCAACATATACATTATAGATTTACTTCTGAAGTGTACACGGTGTCATAAAACGGTGGTTTATTGATGAAATTGTTTTGGTTATTAACTTTTTAATAAACAATAAGCGATGGCTAAAACCTTCATAGTGTTATACTCAGGAGGATAATCTTTATGATATATGTGAAGGGGGGACAAAGTAATTGGAGGAATCTCTCCTAATCAGCATTTTTATCAAAATTTGTTTATAACTGTTTAATGAACAATGAGCAACGGCTAAACTCACTTGGAGAATATAAGATCTGTGCAATAATCACTATGGATAATCGGGATATACGCAATATGATTTCTGTGCAAACAGGATTCTGGACAATCGAGATCTGAGCAATGTAGTTTATGTGTAAACAGGATTTTTGCAATAAGGTTTCTGTGCAAACAAGATCTGTGCAATAATCATTCTCGACAAATACAATCTTAGTCAACTACAACATGTGTGCAATGACGACTATAAACAATCGGGATTTGCGCAAAACTTTTTTGTGCAAACGAGATCTAGGAATTTGTGCAACCGCCGATCTGTGCAAAAGAAATCTTGGCTATTGGTGCACTACCTATTCATAATAATAGTATATGGTAAAGGGCCTTCTACAATAAGATATTAATAATAAATCAGAAGTCAGAAGTAAGAAATTGACTACTCACAATCGATTATTCTTCTGTGATTTGACTGTGATTGGTCAATTTCTTGCTTCTGACTTCTGATTTATTACTAATATCTCATTGTAGAAAGCCCTTAACATATACTGTCATCGTGAGCATTGATTCTTCTCGATTCAATTAAACATTACAATTATAATTTACAATAGTTGTTTCATAATATTCTTTTATGTCGTACGTTTGCAATAAGATTGAAGTATACATATATGTAGAGCTCATCAACGAGCCTTAAGTCTTAATTGTTTAAAAAATTTATGTTGATTTTTGATACTCTAAAAGATCTACAAATCCTAGTATAATTTAATTGCTTCTGGAGAAATATTTTTTATTTAATGCAATAAATATGGAAAAATTTCTAATAGAAAAACATCGGTTTATAGGTCTCTAACGTCCAGTATGTTCTTAAAGTTTGTCTACTAATAAAACTCTCTCTCTCTCTCTCTCTCTCTCTCTCTCTCTTTCTCTCTCTCTCTCTCTCTTTCTCTCTCTCCCCGTTATTTTTATTGGTAACAATCTGTTATCATCAAATTTAATATTAGTTTGTAACATAGCTGTTCTCGTGACAAAAGTTGTAGTTTGATAATCTGTGTTTGCAGCTTTGGCTCTGACTAAATAATTTACACAGTTTCTTCTAATTACGCAAGAATTTAAATGATCATGAGAGCCTTACGTTAGATGTTAATAAAATAAATAAATTCTTGTAGTTTGAAACTTAAGAGGGTACTAGATATAGAGACCTGTAGACCGACGTTTTTATAACCTAAATTTCTTTATTTTTTAATTTTATTTACTGCACAACATTAAAGGCGCTTTTACAGAAGCAAATAAATGTACAAAACCATATAAAGCTTTTGAAAATGGGTATATAATGCTTTTTTGAACTCTTTTTTTCATTCATAATGATAGTATATGATATCAGATATACATCATCACACTATGACGTTGTTCTCATCAATTAGATAGTCAAACCATAATCTGAATGTCTCATTAGACTTTTTTTTGTCGTATTTAAGGCGCTTGGTCATTGTAAATATGTACATAAGCTTAGAAATAATTCTACATATATGAATATATAGTCAGGTTATAGAAGGAAACTGTATAAGTAAAAATTTATGCTGAATTTTGACATTCCAAAGAACAAGCGTAAATTCTTAGCACAATTTACTTATTTTTGTAGAAGCATTTTAGATTTAATGAAGGAAATACGATACCAAACGTCATAGGAGAAAGTCGGTTTACAGGTCTCTATAGTCGGTATCCAGTACTCTCTTAAGGGCGTAAAACTCTTTAATAAAAGTTTTTTCTGTTATTTTTTTTCTGTCAATTATACATGTTATTGCAACTGTTACGATATTTTTATGTTTGTGTATGTTGTTAAATTATTGCTTGATAATATGAAAAAATCGAGTAATTTATACTTATAAGAATTAAATAGCAAATTTTGTGAGAGAGAAAATTGTGAATATTTGCGTAATAACAAACGATAATACGAAGTATGTATATTCTCAATTGACGAGTGAACAGCACAGATGTTTGGATCAGATCTGCAGATTAATTGTAGAATCAAGTGTTTAACAGAATCGTACAATGACGCTCGTTGCACCTGTACATTTTCAAAATGTCAAAAGAACAGTGATATACATATGTATGTTGGTGTGCACCTCAATAAATTGTATTAACATATTAGTATTATGTTATCACGATCAAACAAAGTAAAACTTACACGCTTTTAATACAGTATATATATAGCGTGTACGCAAAAACAATTTTGGTAATACGTTATTAAGTATTTCGCATCAAAAGAATCGACTTCGATACAAGGTGAGAAATAACCCAATGTATGTATTTTTTAATTTATCGTGTATAAATATAAGGATAGTATATAGATAGAGATGGAAAGTTAAAATGTGATACATGTCTTATAATAAAATGTGATAATTAAACTATATACAACTAACATTAAATTCGTCAATAAAAATTAACGTTAGATGTTTATGCAAAACAAATATATATACTTATATATTTCAGTGTAAATTATACACATGAATTTTTTCAATTGAAAGAATGACCCCAAAAATCGCCCGTTTTGAAGTCCTTGAATTTTGAATCAAATAGTGTGCTAAATGATAGCTTATGATGAGACATTAATCAGAGAAAAATTTCACATTAAATCTACCTTTTATTTGGGAGATACGCGAGGTCAAAGTTACTAAAAGTTAGGTGAAAAAAGAGTATCGATATCGTGACATACGTCACAAGTAAATCTACGGAACTGTCTATTAGATCGATCTTGATGGGATAACTTCGCACACTTGTAAAATTATGACAAATAATTGACATATATTTTGTTATAAAAAAATGAAAAAAATATATGTTAGTGTAAAAAAAATAAATGCCGATATAAAAAAGTCAATAAAAGCCAACGCTAGATGTTTGTGCGAAACAAATATATATATAAGGTACCCGCGCGAAGCGCGCCGGGCTGTATAAATATATATATATATATATTTGTTTCACAACAAATATATACGAACATCTAACGTTGGCTCTTAGTGACTATTTTAATGTTAGTTTCGATTTTCAAGAATCTTATTTCTTCTTTGTTTAAACAAGATAGATATATATTTTTTTATTAAGACGTTCCGTGTCATGTGTACCACTGATGGTATACGATGTGATTAGCTTGTACTATGTACAGACGGCGTCATTAATTCGAAGAATAGGCGCGGAGATCGGAGGGCAAGCGGGGCGGTTGCTCGTAGCGCCAACGGGCGCCGTACTAACTAACTAGTAGCAATCGGGTGTCCACAACTGGACACCCGATTTTGGGACTAATGGATATTTGGATCAACTGGACTTTTTATGTGATCCCCGCGCCTATTCTTCAAATTAATGACGCCGTCTGTACAAGCTAATTACTTATTAATGATATAAAAAATGAAATATTTTGTGATAAAAAAATATATCAGTGTTTAGTCATAACTTTAAAGGCCTAAATAAAACGTTAAGCAAAAACGACTTGGCACGGAAAGTGTTAAACATGTGTGTATAATATACAAGATGGAAAAGAAAGTCGGCACCCTGAATAACTCGGAAAATACAAATTATATAGAACAATGTTTCAAAAGTTGTAAGTGTAAAAAGATCCAGTAACTGATATTATCAGTTTGACCTTGGATGGCGTTGCCAAGATCAGAACAACACCTTGAATTTTTTAAATAGAATCTGTTTTTTTAAATTTTATTACATATTCTTATAGCACTTCTTCAAGCTTTTTCAAAGCACTATGATTTTATCCTTTACGCCGTTATCAAACTTTGTATGGTAAACCCACAAAGGATGATCTAGCCAATGAAAGTAGATGATTCTTCTTGCCGTCATTCTCACCTTGTGTGTACATATGGGTAAATCCATCGTAGTTTTAACTTTTGATGGACTTTTTAATACTGATAAGTCTGAGTAATTTTTTATATGCACAAGACTTATGTTTTCTTTGTATACTTTCTAGCAATAACTATGTATAAGAATGCAGAGCGTTTGTGTTATTGCTGACGTTTAAAAGTATACTAACTCGGTAAAAATATAGAAGATCATAAAATTTATTTTGTTTCTTTTGAATTTATGTTTCACTTTTAACTTTGTACCTGCGCTGTGTTATATAACGCTTTCGTAATAAATGGAAAAGGTAGCTCTTGCATTCATACATCTTTGCCCTGGAGGTCGATTATGTGTCATATAGCCATAAAAAATAGTGGCCACTGAAAAACTTGTCCCTCTATTTTGGCAAATTATTAATTTGTATAAAGTTAACAATATTATATACACGCCGTTAAAAATTGATGAACTGAGTTACTGAAGTTGTAGCAAACACGAAAACAAAAAATATAAGACCTTGAAAATTGTGTCTTAAAAATGAAACACCAATGTATCAAAGATTGCCTTCAAAAGCGTAAATTCATTGAAAAATCTACAAATCACTTTGGCACAAATTTCGAGAAAAATTTTTTCAGTCAATATCAAAATTTGTAAACTCTTTCTTATACCATAACTTACCACGGAATCCATATGGCCACAATTTTCAAAAACCCAATTTTATTAGTTATGATGTTAAGCGTAAAAAAATTTATTTTTTTCAAATGTGTGGCACATACATCTTATATTGACAAACATGTCTGAAATAATATTGACAAACATGTCTAAAATTCAAAAACCAATCTACACACGCGTTAATTTTAAGTAGACCGGCGCAAAGTTTATCTGATTGAGCTCGACTTATATTTCTTTCCAGGTTTACAATTGCAACTATGTGTAAATTACGTACTCTTAACGTCACAACTAATAATAAATTGGGTTTTTGAAAATTGTAGTCACATGGATTCGTAAGTTATAGTATAAGGAAGAGTTTACAAATTGATATTGACCGAAAACATTTTTCTCTGAATATATGCCAAAGTGATTTGTGGATTTTTCAATAAATTTACGCTTTTGAAGGTAATCTTTGATACACTGGTGTTTCATTTTTGAAACACAATTTCCAACAACGTCTAATATTTTTTGTTTTCGTGTTTGCTATAAATTCAGTAACTCAGTTAGTCGATTCACTTAACAGCGTGTATATAACTTTAATAAAAATTAATATTTTGCCAAAATGGAGAGACAAGTTTTTCAGTGGCCACCATTTTTTACGGTTATATGGCACATAATCGACCTCCAGAGAAAAAATGTATGAAAGCAAAAGCTAACTTTTCCATTTATTACGAAAGCGTTATATAACACGGCGCAGGTAAAGTAAAGAATAAAACACAAATTCGAAAGAGACGAAATAAATTTTATGATTTTCTATATTTTTACCGATTTAGTGTACTTTTTTAAACGCCAATAACACAAACGCTCTGTATTCTTATACATAGTTATTGCTATAAAGTATATGAAAAAAATATAAGTCTTGTATGAAGCTGAAACTGGCCCGGAGACTTAGCCCGGAACCGCCGAAATGCAGGGCCGCGCGGCCGATTTTAAAAAACTTAATTTCCGGAACTCTGACCAACTAAACCTTTTTTCTTGCGCACGTAGGCATTCTTGTATTCTCCTAACATACTAATTATATATTGAAAAAAAAATAAATTATTTAGATATTTCTTGCATTATAAACCACGAAAATAAATAGAATATTTATGTTTTCACATATATTATTCGATGAAAACGTTCACGCTCCCTACAAAATGCATATCCACCGTGTTACTAACATTCCAAAGAATATTTGTGCAAAGTTGCAGCCGGTTGTTTGCTTGCGTTGACGAATAATAAACAAATGTCTACCGTCACTCGAACAAAAAAGCGCTTCTTAAAAAGTTTGAACTTCTTTTTAACATCGAAGATGTTCGTGCTCTCTAAAAATTACATGTTTACTGCATTTTTAACATTTCAAAGAATATTTGTGCAAATTGTCAGCCGGCTGGTCCTTTGCAGTAACAAATAATAAACAAATGTTCTCGTCACTCGAGCGTGATAGCGTTTTTTAAATCTGTTATAAAGTTTAACATTTGTTTTTACATTGAAAATGTTCGTGCCCCCTAAAAATTGATTATCTGTTACATTTACAACAAATCAAAGAATAATTGTGCAAATTCTCAGCCGGATGGTTTTTTGCATTAACAAATAATAAACAAACGTTTCTCGTTACTCGAGCGGGATAGCGCTTTTAACTCGGTACAAAGTTTAACAGTTTTTTTAACATTAAAGACGTTCGTGCTCCCTAAAAATTGATTATCTGTTACATTTACAACAAATCAAAGAATAATTTTGCAAATTCTCAGCCGGCTGGTCCTTTGCATTAACAAGTTATAAACAAATGTTTCCCGTCACTCGAGCGAGATAGCGCTTTTTAACTCGGTAAAAAGTTTAATATTTTTTTTTACATTGAAGATGTTTGTGCTCCCTAAAAATTATGAACATCTTCAAGATAAAAAAAAATGTTAAATTTATAACGGATTAAGAAGCGCGCTACCTCGCTCGAGTGACGATAAACATTTGTTTATTACTTGTTAATGCAAAGGACCAGCCGGCTGAGAATTTGCACAATTATTTTTTGATCTGTTGTAAATGTAAAAGATAATCAATTTTTAGGGAGCACGAACATCTTTAATGTTAAAAAAAATGTTAAAATTTGCAACGGACTGAGAAGCGCTATCTCGCTCGAGTGGCGAGAAACATTTGTTTATTACTTGTTAATGCAAAGGACCAGCCGGCTGAGAATTTGCACATTTATTCTTTGATTTGTTGTAGATGTAACAGGTAATCAATTTTTAGGGAGCACAAACATCTTCAATGCAAAAAAAACTGTTAAACTTTTTACCGAGTTAAAAAGCGCTATTTCGCTCGAGTGACGAGAACATTTGTTTATTATTTGTTAATGCAAAAAACCATCCGGCTGAGAATTTGCACAATTATTCTTTGATTTGTTGTAAATGTAACAGATAATCAATTTTTAGGGGGCACGAACATTTTCAATGTAAAAACAAATGTTAAACTTTATAACAGATTTAAAAAACGCTATCACGCTTGAGTGACGAGAACATTTGTTTATTATTTGTTAATGCAAAGGACCAGCCGGCTGACAATTTGTACAAATATTCTTTGAAATGTTAGAAATGCAGTAAACATGTAATTTTTAGAGAGCACGAACATCTTCGATGTTAAAAAGAAGTTCAAACTTTTTAAGAAGCGCTTTTTTGTTCGAGTGACGGTAGACATTTGTTTATTATTCGTCAACGCAAGCAAACAACCGGCTGCAACTTTGCACAAATATTCTTTGGAATGTT